GCCATGTTAGACCATGACGCCAATAACGTTGGCGCCACAAAAGATTCCATTTCTAAGATAAGTTTTTTCATGAATCTATTTGTAAATTTAAGTTTTCAAAAAAGACAAAGTAAAAAATCCTGAGGTAATGGTGCTCACGGGGATTATAGTGGCAAGGATTAAATTAACGTATATAGGTATCTCTCCTACTCTCTTACGAGAATGGCAAAACATGAGTAGATAATCCCCCGCTATAGAAACGAAATTTTCAGCTGCACCTAACCTACCAGAAACCCATATAAACAAATTTACTATGTCCAGTCCGAAATATTTGTTTTGAATTTGTCTCAAGTTAATTTTTTAAATATTTATTAATGGCCTCTGCCACTAAATTTATCGTATCTATGAGATATGGGATGTCATACCCTCAATTAACCTTTTTTGGGTAAAAAACACACGATTTTCTTTTCTACAGATCAGATAACCTTAAAATTGGTGCATAGTTTGTTATGGAGTAAAAAAAACATAAAAATCTAATATTTATAGGGAAAAGTCCACTTTACATATCTGAGCACTCACAAAAGTCTACAATTAAATCGTAAACTTTCCCTTAAAAAAACATAAACTATGAAACCAAACACTATAGTCATACCTAAACATTCCATGGCGTTTAGTTTTCATGCTGTAACCAAATTCAAAATGGTTTTGACATGGTTTAAGTCTAGCTGAATAATCTTTTGAATTTTAAAATCTGTACATGAACTCAATAAACTTTGAAAAATCACCACATATTCGTCCTTACGGCATGTACAACCTAGATTATTTTCTGGTCAGTTATATAAAGAATAATTTGTCTGTATAAAATGGTTTTATAATATGGTTAAAATCAGCTTACGTGCTTGGAATAATTTTCATTTTGGAATGGATCTAATTTATTTAGTTAAATATAAAAAAATGTACAAGTGAAAATAGTGTGTGTTTGAGAGGTGAGCCAAGTAGTAATGGTGCAATATATATTTATATAAAATTATTGTATTGATAGGCTATTAGAGTGGTTATAAATGATCTGTCAATTTAGAACTAGCAGTTGGCTATAGTATTAAACTTGTTAAGACCTATTCAATTGAATCATATCGGTGCGCATGCAAGTGATGTGATTGAGGTTTTGATGGTAAATCAATTTAGAGGAGGAAAAAGTGATAGTTAATATATGTATATGTGTATCAGTGTTATAGATAAGACACACCTAATACTTATGTATTAAGCTCATAGGGGGCCATCCAAATTATTATGGAACAAAACCTCATATACAAAAGGTATTCCGATAAGGAAAGAGAAAAAGTCCTAAGACACTACAAGAACTACTTGGATAAAGAGGGCACCCGAGGGTATAGACACCACAGGAAGAGAGGGGACACACAAATATCTAGATAAGCCAATACTCCATCCATCCCATTTTAAGTGCAGTTGTGGATTTCTGTGTTCAACGTTTGACCGTCCGTCTTATTTGAAAAATTTATGAAAAATATTAAAAAAGAGTCACGCATAAAGTAATATTCATGTTTTATCATCTAATAATAATAACAATACTAATCATAAAACATTTTCAAATAAGACAGACAGTTAGATGTTGCAATTGCTTTGGTAATAAAGAAATACAAAGTCATACACATATATTCTTGTCAAACCTTGACACACTTGGAGCCAACAGATTTTTGGTCATCTTCTTCGTGGCCAACAAATTTTCTCTTAATTAGGAAATAAAAGAAGCTTAAATGGCAACCGTCATTTTTAAAATTTCTCAATCTATTGTTTATGTTGCAATTGCTTTGATAAAAAAGAAATACAAAGAAAATGAATTTACTCATCTTTTTCCTATTTAGGTTTTTGAAGTTGAGAACAAAACAGTATGCCAAGAAACTAATGTCCCATATATGTCTTTGTAAATAAATTATAGAAACTGTCCAAAATAAAACCTAAAATGGTACTGCAAGTAATTTCACATGGATGGCAAACAGCTTGGGATCACGCGTTTATTTAAGAATGATATGTTTGGCCCTGTTCATCGTCTCCAAAAGGATCCGAAACCTTGATTTCAGATAACTCTCCTGATCACTTATCATTAGAATATTATTTCTACACATAGAGCGCATCCCCAGGTCGTCCTCGCGCGGGCTTGGGGGCAAACCCTAGCCGTCGCTGCCACCCACCCCTCCCCCTCTCTCTCCCTCGCCACCGCCAGAGTTCGTTGCCAGACAACTGTGCGGGGAGCCGGGATGGCGGCGGTGGGGCCAAATCGCGGCGACAGGTCTTCTCTAGCACGAGGGAGGCGGGGCGGAGCGCGTAAGCCGGTAGCTGCGGTGCGCTCACCGGTGATGGAAAGTGGATTTCAGTCACCACTATGGCTGGATCCGGTTGTCCCGCGGCCGGATCTGCCGTGTGGCACGGTGGCCGGCGGCACGGGCTGCAGCCGGAAGACGGAGTGGGCGCGACGGGCGGCACGGGTGTGGGCGGTGGGCTACAGCAGGAGGTCGGTGATGGTGCGACGCCTGAAGACCAGCGAGGGCCGGGCGACAATGTGGGTCGCCTGAGCAATGACCACAGCGGGGCAGGTTGTGCTGACCTAACGACGACAGGATCCATCTCTCTCCCGGCCAGATCTGGCCCTAGCAGCTCTTCCACCGGGGTTGAGAAGGGGAGAGGACAACGGCATGTGCGGCAAGGCTAGGGAGATAAGTGTGGTGGTGGTGTGTGGCCGTGGAGACGACGCGGCACACGGTGGAGGTGCTCGTTAGCGTGGCTGGCGGCAGGCCTGCGCGGACTAAGACCAGCATATATAGAGCATGGCTGGTGATGGCGGGAGGTCATCGCGGCGAGTGGAGGCACAACCATCGTGATGGGGAAGTGCAGCTAGCGTTTGTGGGGGGTGCCGGCGCAGTGATGTCGACGTGCCGACGGAAGTTTGGCCGGTGGTGGAGCATTGAAGCGCTAGGTGTGGATTAGCAGGGAGCGGGCGGCAGGTGTAAACCTAGCCCGGGTTGATCGGGACAGCAACGACGATACTTCAGTCGTCGTCTTCCCTCTTGGCATTGTCGAGCCGTCTCATCCCTCTAGTGGGGCTGTCAGGTGAAAAACCTTATCTTGGTTCTCCCTGAGACCATGACAAACAACAGCGGTGGTGCTCATCGTCGTTGTTCTCCTTGGAGACGTTGTCTAGGAAGCCCCCTTGCCAAAGCTTCTCTCAGGCAGTTGGTGCGGGCTCGCTCTAGATGTCTTGTCCTCTTACGATGGCACCTTAGCTTTTACAGGTTGGCCATGTTGGCGGGCCTTAGGGGGGAGAGCGGTTCCATCTTCTCTCTCACCCTCTCCCATTCAATCCTAAAAACGTGGATAGAGTCGAGTTTGGTGGCCGGCTGTTAGGGCTTGGTTTTGAGTGGTCTCGACCGTAGCTTCCTTGTTGGTCTATTGGAAGCCGATCCGGTGCTAGTCTTCTCCTTGGTTGTCTGTAGGCACCGTCAGTGCGTGGTGGTGGTGATGTTTTTTTTTCTTCTTGGCTACTGCCTTCCAGGGGCACTAGTCTTGTAAGTTTTTACCACTACATTCAATGAATCTGGTGCTGATCGTTAAAAAAAGAATATTATTTCTAACTGAAGCATTTGTATGTTCCATCATCAAACATATGAGATTTTAAACCATATATACATTGCTCGAGAATTCTTTTTATCTCTTTTCTTGCCGAGACCATGAAAATGGCTAAGGCCGTGCCCGGACTATTGGGTTGGAAAACACACGGAGCTATGAATTAGCGCATAATTATTTATGTATTAGCCAAAGAATTGAAAAATAGATCATGATGATTTTTATAAAGCAACATTACTATAATTTTTCTAAAAGAACCATACCATTTAAGCGGTTTAGAAAAGGTGCGTGCAAAAACGAACTCAGCGTAAAGATGGTTAATTAGCAATTCATTAAAGCAGTAGTCCTAGTTTAAAAAATAAATAACGGTAACAAAACAACAATTATAGACAAAATTCAAGCTCAAATAAAAACAATTAAGACAAAGCCTATGCCTATCAGAGCAAGGATAATAATATAGCCCACTTTCTACTAAGTATTAGCCTATACTAAAGTCAACACATATAATAGATTAGCTATAAGGTTAGCTATAATTTTCTTCTTCTTCTATCTCTATCTCTCACTTAGAGCAGGTACAATAGCAGGCTATTAGCCAGCTATAAACATATTTTAATGAGATAAACGATGAGAGAGAAGACCAGCGGGCTACAGATTTGTAGCCAGCTATAGCACGGACTCCAAGACGCAATGTGTGTATGACAGGTGTGACCGTATATTAATAGTATAGTAAGCAACTATTGTATGAATTGGCTATTAGATTGGCTATAGATGAATTGGAGCTAGTAGTGGGCTATACTATTGAACTTGCTCTTATACATTTAATGTATTTGTCTTGGAGATTGTGTTAAGCTAGCTCTTGGATGAGAGCCAACACTATTCTCTTTTGTTTACCTCTCTCCTCTACATAAGATTATAAGATTATAGTAGGCTTATAGCTCACTATTATACTTGCTCTCAGTAGTAGGCATCCATCCATCCATCCTTATCAAAATACAGCGTGTACTAGCTTTGGAAAAGTTTAAGGTTATGAGAAATAATTGGTTTTTTTAATTGAAAATTTGAGATTTAAACATGTGTCCATAAAATCCGGTAAATTTGCAGTTAATACTATTTGTGAAAGTTGTATATTTTTATCATTTGAAAATTTGAATGCAGGGAAAAATACGTACTGGTACTAGTATGCATCTGTATACAGTACTCCTAGCGATGGATTTGCGTTGCGAGGTGGGCAAGCAGGCAAGAGGCAAGAGGGAAGAGGATGGAAAAGACAGCACTGCACAGCCACAACAGCGTTGCAGCCTGCTGCCCTGCCTTGCCTGGGGAACCCCGAAAGCAACCCAACCCAGGGAGGGAGGGAAGCCGAAAAATCAAAAGCGAACCAACGCAACGCAATAAAAGCTCCTCTCTCTCTCTCTCTCTCTCGCTCTCAAACCCCAACTCTAATAAATAAAAACCTCTCATCCATCGCCTCGTCTTCTTCGTCTCTCTCCCTCCACCTCCGCTCCTACTCTGCTGCTCCACCACGACCAAAAGCCATGCCTATGCTGCTGCTGCCGCTCTCCTCCTCTTCCGCCATTGCCGCCACCTGAGCTGAGCTCTTGTACTCGCTACGCTACTCAAGATGGCTTTCGCCACGCTCTTTGACTCCCTCTACTGCCCCGAGGAGCACCTCGACCTCTTCCATGACACCGCCGCCGACGACGACCTCCACCTCGACCTTCACCTGCACCAACCCCCACCGCCGCCGCCGCTCCTCGACGACGACCTGCCTGCGCTGTTCCACGCGCTCAGGGGGAAGGAGGACCCGCTGCGCCCCGCCGCCGACGACGACGGCTACGGCGGGGTGTCTGCCCGGGAGGCGGCGGTCGGGTGGGCGCTGCGCGCCGTCGCGAGGCTCGGCTTCTCCGCGCTCACGGCCGCGCTCGCCGTCGCCTACCTCGACCGCTGCTTCCTCGGCGGCGCGCTCCGCCTCGGCGACCGCCCCTGGATGGCGCGCCTCGCCGCCGTCGCCTGCGTCGCGCTCGCCGCCAAGGTGGAGGAGACGCGCGTGCCCGTGCTCCTCGACCTCCAGCTCTGCGCCGCCGAACGCGCCGACCCCAACGAGGCCTACGTGTTCGAGGACAAGACGGTGCGCCGCATGGAGCTGCTGGTGCTCTCGGCGCTCGGATGGCGGATGCACCCCGTGACGCCCCTCTCCTACCTCCAACCCCTCCTCGGCACCGCCCACGCCGCGCGCCTTCACCACTGCGACACCGCATTGCTCGCGCTGATGCCCGGTGGGTCTTCTCTATCCTCTTCTACGACAAAGCCACCACATTTCTCGCAAAAAGACTCCATGTTTTATCTTGTTAGCGTGGGCGCGTGCAGATTGGAGGTGGCCTCGCCACCGCCCTTCGGCGTGGGCCGCCGCGGCGTTGCTCGCGACGGCCGGATGGTGCGGCGGCGGCGGCGGCGACGACGCCGAGCTCCTAGCCCTCATCGATGCCCCCAAGGTCAGTAGTAATGGCTCCCACTAGCATCGCGCGTCGTCTTCTCGCCGCCATCGTGGTGATGAAAATGTGTGCGGTGAGCGCAGGATGAGATGGCAGAGTGCGCCAAGATCATCTCCGAGGAGGCGGCGGCGGCGGCGGCGGGGGGCATTGTGATCGGCGGCGAAAATAAGCGCAAGGGCGCGGCGGGGCTGTACTCGGCGCCGGCGAGCCCGAGCGGCGTGATCGGCGCGTCGGCCTGCTTCAGCTGCGACAGCTCGTCCAGCAGCGTCGACTCGCTGTTCGCCGCCTTGGAGCCACCCGGCCGGCCGATCAAGCGCGGCGCCGCCGCCGCCACCACCGCGGATCCGCTTCCCGCCGACGAGGAGAGCCGCGACGCCTGGCCGCCGTACGCCGCATGAGGCTGCTCTGGTCGGTATCGGGAAGGGGAGAAGCTAAAGCAAGCCACTAATTAAGCTTAGGAGGAGGAGGGTTCAGTCCAAGAAAAAGATGTTCCATTAACGCAATGCAAGAATGCAGGTGCGAAGGGGTAGGTTCATTCATGTAGCCATTGATGGTCTCTTGGAGCTCAGCTCAGCCTCAACCTCAACCCACCATAGCCATGGATGGAGGTGAGGAAGAAGCTGTTTTGTCCTGTCTGCTCACTCTGCTGGTACCACCACTGTTAGAACCATGCTTCACACTCTCTCTCTTGTTTCTCTCTCTAGAGAGAAGAGAGAGAGTATAAAGGAGTAGGAGTATGAGGAGTGGCAACAATGGCAATGGCATCAAATGCTGCAATTGCCCACTTCCCATGAGCAGCTAGAGCTACAACAGCAGACCTGAGGCTATTGTGCTCACCTCTTCTTCTTCCACCATTAATGAAAATGCATTACTACTAGTAGATCTCTCAAATTTTTACTAGTGCTGTTTTGGCTTGCATGGAGCTTCTCTCGTTTTGCCCAAATAAATGTGCATTCTTCCTATTCTCTTCCAACTGCGTTAGCATCAACATTGCTGGGAATGTCTCTGTTGTGTTCATGTGCTCTCTGATTAATGGCAGCTTGGGATTTAGCCAAACACAAGACCTATTCCCACTAAAACTGTTTCAGTGGTTCCAACCTTGGTTTCGATCACAAATGAACATATGAAGTATCAGGAAAAAAAAGTGCATTATGCCCCCTTTTCTCTCTTTTTTTTTCTCTAAAATTCGTATGGTACTAGCAAGGGAATCTATGTTAAAGGTTGATAATTAAAACCCCCTCAATCAATATGGGCCTGAAAAACAAAATCCCTACTGAAAAATTTTTGAAAACAAAAAGATCAATTTTACAGGTGGCTTTCCTCACAAATTGTGGGAATGGCTAGAGAAACATAGTAGTGATGACTCACCGGTCTTCTAGCTCACCCTGACATTCTCTTTTTTTTTATTGCTTAATTTTAAATTTCAAAAACTTGATGGTGCAATATGGATTTGACTTTGTTTTCTCTTCAATTCCTACGTGGACAAGCATGTGTCCACACAAGAAAAGGACCAGAGAGAAAATCTGCTAGACTCTTCTTTTGGTGAGGAACTGAGTGAGGACAGCCTCTTTCTTTTTGGCAAAATTCTCTTAAGTAAAATAAAGAGGAGAAAGCAGAATTAAAGATGGCAAAAGAACTCCCGGGCTTGCCACGTAAAGACAAGCGAGGACTACTCCTAGTTAAAGCCAAAGAAAGAAAAAAAATAGGAAAAGGCATCTTGTTCTTGCAATGGAGGGAAAATAATTTGGAGATCACAATGATTGGACGCACATTGGTAGATTTACTCCTATTATTAGTCGGAATCGTCATGTAGTGGCCAAGTTAATTATGGATGGGAATGATGGGTATGGTCATAAATAAATGTGCAGATTCTACTCCATCATGTTAATTAATTTTTCCCAAGTCATTTCTTCATAACATAGCTCGTGCAGTATCACACCTAACACTGCCCTATAGAAATTTTCAATGTATCCGGTTACTGTTCAGTATTTTGTCCTGATCAATTTGCACTGTCCGATGTGAATTCTAACAGTACTGTTAGTTCCAAAGCCCATATTGGTCTCCTTGGTAACGAATTATTTGAAAACACACACATTTTATTTAAACAACCGCACAAAATAGCGTGACGTTTTTATTGATAGAGTAAAAAAAGTTACAAGTCTATAACCTTGGAAGGCCATAACCAGAAAAAGAAAAAAGAACCACACCACACGTCTACAAACAGACCATGCTACTGAAGGGCAAATGGATACAACAAGGACCTTCTAGACGACGCCTTCGAGAAAGAAACAACATCTAAAAGTCCCGCCGCCTGTCTTGGGCCATGACATAGTTTTCACTTGAAGAAATCCATCATGGAGAGCAGAGGAGATCACACAATAACACCCTAAGGGGATAGCGGCACTCGTAGACGTTGCCATTGCTGAGCCGAATGCTGGGCTTTCGCCCGTGAACTTTTTGCCCTCTCGAGTCAAAGTCGTTTGCCAAAAACAACAGCCCACCACCCGCACACCTTTGATGTGTAGCCACCGCACCAGTGCCTCGTCGCCAGTCGGTCATCAAGAAGGAGCTCGGCCACCAATGCACTCGAAACCATCCACGCAGTTGGGCTGGAGAAGGAGAGGGAGAGGGAGAGAGTGAGAGAGAATAATGGATTCCCTCTGCCCTTCACTAGCCCACCAACATAGCCATCTTGTGACGACAAAGGTGCCGCTGCAAGAGGACAAGCGTCTGGATCAGGGCCCGTCGCAAGCCTGGAACACCCACCTCACGACACCACCGTCTCGTCGATGCCTCAATCGGATGACCTGCGGTACCCCCGCCTTAGGCCGCTCGCTCATATCGCCGTCAACTCGCTTTGTCTCCTCCTGCTGCCAGTAGCCAACCGGAGCACTGTCCGTGCCAGCTCACTGCCGCCGTCTACGGCCTCCCGTCGCCCGCGCCACAGCACTCTCGACGGCCACTGTTGCCATGCCGATGCCCCATCGTCGCTGCTTGCGATGCGCTGGCCTCCTACTGCCGCCGGCAACGTCGCACGACCTCCTACCGTCATTGGCCAGGCTAGCCTTGCCGAACGTCCTCTTGCCATCGCCAGCCGAGTTAGCCTTGCCGCCATCGGCCCCTTGCCTAAAGCCATCAGCCAAGGTGACCTCTTCGTCGCTCCCGGGCAGATCCAGCGTAGGAGGGCCCGAATCCAGCCACAGGGGCCAGATCCAAGCGTTGTCGTCGCCGCGCGGGCTTCTTCCCCGCCGCATGCCTCTTCTTTGCCTCCACCGCCATCTCTGGAACCATAGGGTAGCTAGAGGATGCCAGATCCGGCCATGTAGGCCCCGCCCCCACCGCCACCATCTCCTCTGTGGCCTCCTCCATCGGTGTTCTCGTTGGCTCCGAGGGAGAAGACCCAGGGTTGGGCGGCACCGCCACCGAGCAGGCACAGACCCTAGCCGTTGAAGCTACCTCGAGGAGGGCAGAGCGCCCCAGTGCCGCTATCATTGTGACCTGCCCGGCTTTTCTAGCGATCCACTCGAGCAGCGGTGAGGCGAAGGGGAGGAGGAGGGAGGCGGCAGATTTTCGCCGTCTAAGTTGCCCCTGGGGTGGAGCTCTTGCACATTTTCGTTAATCCATGAACAAAATCTAGGTATGTAGACACATGGATCCATACATCTCGTTCAGAAAAGAATCAATAGAAGGAGAATCAGACAATATCTTTCTCGAAACAAACAAAAAGGAAAAGAAAGAGAAAACATAAATCACTCTACGTATTGCTTGACGTAAAACCAATAGTGGATTTGTTTCTGTCTTTCGTTGAATCTTTTTCACGGCTCAATAGACAATTTGATAAGCCAATGATTTTTTTCCATCCTTCATAATATGGTTAACCACCATGTTAACTAATCGATTACGAAAAATTGGATCGGATTTTGCAGTTCTTTTTTCTGCAGTACCTCGATGTGGCATGAGTATGAAAGAGGTTTAAGAATCTGTTTTCTTTTTATGAAGGCTAAAAACGAATCACTTGTTTTTTTGGCTTTTTGACCCCATATTGTAGGATGAATATCGAAAGATAGAAAATATCTTTCTCTAAGTCTTATTAGTTCGTGAACTTGGGGAATTGCGTGATTCATCAGAAAAAGAAATGATAACCATTTTTTTCTATATAACAAGATTCTTAATTTCTCGTTGGGCTTTCTCGGGACATTTGGGAGCAGCGCGGACACAACACAGACATTTTGCCATTAAAGAAAAACAGGAATAAGCCATCACGCCGCAACGAATCCTACAAGTTGTAAATCCACGTAAATGCACAAGGGATTAAGTATTTCTTTTACAGCACTCTAGGAAACAAGGGAAATTTTAGAGAATAGAAGAGAAAACATAAGGTTAGCCTCTCATTAAGTTTCCTTCATAATTCCTATGAAATTAGCTATTCCATATGAATTTCAAAGGATTTGGGAAGGTCGTCTCTTTTTTCCAAAGGACCATGTAGGATTGTTTTCCAAAGGATTCCTCCAACATTCCTTCATTTTTTTGGTTTATCAAAAAGAAGCTCTAAACTTTGTAATGGTGTTGAGCATTATTATTTTTCCATGCATAGGGTGCAAGGATTTTATATGAAGTTTTACAAATATCAATCAAAATTTGGGAAGCCAAAAACTACATTATACTCGGAGCATTAGGTTTGGCGACTTTCACATTCAACCTGATTCACCGCCTACACGCCCTTTACACCTAGTCATTTCATGGGTTATTTAGGATCTGATTGAATTATTAAGAGCTTTGTTTGTTTGTTCGCGGATATATTGTTGCCACGCCAAATATTAGTCATGGGCTTATGACAAACTTCGCTAGATAGCTATTCGGTTGAGGATTAATTTCAGTTGAGGCAAGCTACACTTAATTATCACATTGGCTCACACGCCCTACACTCATTTTGCTCCAAAGTTTGCACACATTTTTTTTAGTTTTTCTAGAGAATGGTATTTTTTACACAGCCTCTACATCCAACCAAATATATACTACCATTTAGGTTGGAAACTTAGCCCGACAAAGTTTGTACACTTGTAACAATTTAAGTCGTGGAAAAGTTAGCCTCCGATAATCATTGTCACAATAACATTGAACAAGTGGCCTGTAGATATTTCCAATCTCCACAATAATTTCCTAAAAAAAATTTGACCATTTATAATTCGAATCACATTTTTTTAATAATACATAGTGACGAAAAACAACTTCCATGAAATTTTTGTCGATATCAATTTTTATATAAAAAACAATGTTATATTAACCTATTCCATGTTGGCTATGTATTTTTCGAAGTTTGATTGTACAAATCTAACCTAAAGAGGGAGATCGAGACTGTCACGAAGTCCCAAACAGAGCCCATCTACTCTAGGTGTAAGTGTGGAAGTATACTTTGATGGAGGTAATTAGCAAGAAACTTTCATTGAAGAAAGGGGCAGGAATGCAAAGAGTGTTTTGAGGTTGACATGGATATCATAGAGAGGGCATTGGGAACGGTTACACTTTGCATGTGAAAGCAGAGGATAGCATTAGGATTTAGGAGTAGGACGACGTCGCTTGTAATCTACGAACATTCATGGTAGATGATGCCAAGCCAAAGCAACCCCCGTACGTAAACAAATCGCCACAAGGAACCAAAAAACCGACCGAAATTGCAAAGCGCTTTGCTCGTAGTCTCCTTCTTGGACTTTTGTAGGTAGCCTCTTTGACCTCGATACAAGACATCTTCTATATATATACACATGTATAAATAACATATACTACATAAATTTCTTATGGGTGAGTGGCCCTCCTTCCTTTTGTTTCTTTTCCTCCAAAGACTACACACACATGGAGTAGGAGTACATACTAGTAGTACTGTTAGTATCTGATTTCAAAGGAGTGAGTGTCACTCTGTCCCCCTCTCCATGGCCTCTTCTGGTGATTAAGCACACTGCCATATGTAGCACTAGT